CTGCGTGGCACGTGGCTTGCGTTTCAATATTTGCATGTAAATTTAAGCTCGCCCAATCGAGTGCAACAAATCGCAGCTCAACAGCATATCATACTTTGCATATTAATGCCACCAGCAGAGAAAGCGAATGGCGCTGGCGTCCACGGCAAAAGCACTCCACGGTGGATCCACCGCAGTGGATCGGAATGTCACAGCCATCGCACAGTGGTAGAAATTCCCATTCGATTCCATTAATTAGTTGCTCACAAACAAGAAAGTCAAGCCATGTGCGGATCCATGGAGGGTAAGGTTGATCTAAATCCCACTACCAAATCTTTGGCTTGCTTTGTAAACTCATTAAAAATAAAACGGGCTGAAAGGGTAACATGTATTCGTTGATAGGTAAAAGTAAGCGTTTCCGACCCAATAAAGTATTTAGATTCATGATCACGATCACTGGTACTGTCGATCAAGTTATGTCCATCTGTGTGTCTGTATGAGCATCGATATCTTGGATACTACAGAAGTTTATTTAAAAAGACAAAGCGGAAAATTTGTGTAGATAAATTTTATGTGTGTGGTATTAATTGGATCAATATTTATCAACAGCAAAATTTCCAAATCGAACAACTATTTTTAAAGTTTTTAGGAAATAAAGTTTAACCATGCTCAATGTCGTCAGCGCCAAAATATTTTCAAGTGCCTCTATCTGTTGGCATATTTTTTGAAATTTGTTGATGAGTTCCTTTTTGTTGAATTAATGTATGTAGTGTTCAAGGTATACGAGTAGATTCAAAGAAAAGGTTGTACCAAAATCATGATCCTTTTCATGAGAACATTGATACCTTAAGAATTATGTTTGTCTATATAGCTTGAGTTAAATTTTTTCGACAATGATAAGATTGAAAATAAATCCCAAGGGAGGAAGAAAGTTACCGGAATATCTTATAATATAATAATAAAGTAAAAGCAAAATTGGCCATCACTTCCACCGTGCAACTTCACCGCCAAGGGCAATCGCAAAGCGAATGGCAAAGCATCAGCTCCAGAGCAAATGCTGCAAATGAAAGAAGGAAAATTATTTGTTTTCCTCATTGAAAATCGCGCAGAGTCTGCTATGGAAAAAATAGTGCACTAGAAAAAATGAGAGAATTGCTGAATAAAATGTAAATGAAATTGTGTTGGGATTGGAAATGGTAATGTGGGAGTGAAAGGCCAAGATAGCGAATTGATTGGCGCAGATTCAAGGAGAGGCGACTTTGCAAACGAGAAATTTTCAATGAGTTTGGGGCTAAAAGATTTTTAATCATTCTCAGAGGCAAAATGAATTGCTAAGGAAAAACGCATAAACACGAAACATCTTTAATACTTAAACAGATTTTAATGACTCAAATATTTATTAATTTAAAAATTTGAATTGAATCTCCTTTTATATTTTCTATTCAGATGCATTTTTACGCCATTAGCCTATTAACATCCTTTATTTTCCCTCCATCGCTTCCAAATGAATTGAGATTTTTCGCAAACTTAAACTGTACCAGACACTTTCGAATCTTTTCAGACTTTACTTTTGAGCTTTGGCAGTTACCACTGCTGGCACTCAAATTGAGTGCCCCTTCGGACCCCCTTTTATGTTTTGACACATTATTTTCGCCCTGGCACTTCCCGAACGGGGACCGTTCAGAGATCCGAGGATCCAACAGCTGGCAAGGTTGAAAGGCGCATTTAGGACCCATTACCATTAGAGGACACTTTGCTTTGCTCGAAATCGACCATAAGCTGGGCCTGGCATCCTTTGGCCAGGACATTTGCATGATTTTTGCAAGAGTAATAAACGTGGCTAGCGAAAAGATGGAAAAAAGAAATGGGAACGGAACGAGGGAGGAAGGGCCCTGACAATACTTAATGTCAGTCACGTAGCAGGGACAGGGACAGGGACACTTTGCGACCATTGACATGGCCAGTTCCTCCCGATGGCCAGCTCCCCGCCACTCCCCCTCCACCAGTCTTGCCATCCTTAGGGCAGTTGTCTGGGAGTCATCGACAAACTGCAGGAGCCGTGTCCTGGCATAACTGCCTTCTGGAGGATGGCTCAGTTAGTTGGCATGCAAAATGCTTTATGCCCGGTACTTGCACCTCTCCATTTTGTCATTGATTTGCAGTCATTCTTGCACAGCAAAAAAAATGAATTTCCTTGTGACATTGAAGTAATACTTCAGGTATCAAATGTGACTTTAATTTTTAAGATCTATTTTTATAAATATTTTTTATGATCGTTAATGGATTTAAAGTAATAGTTAAATTAAATTTTCAAATTAAACATTTCTCTGTTACATTTATTTTAAATATTTTTCTGTGTTAGGAACATGTTCCTACGAGTAATGGAAATAAAAAATTATAGTATTTCTCAGATTTAAATGCTACTCTTGCTGTAAAATTTATTCTGTATCATGCCAGTGTACGTCAATGTAAGCCTTACTTGAATTCACGAAGGCCAAAGAACTTAGGAAAACCGGACAGGAATATTCCTGGCTGCATACTCAGCTAAAATTTAACAAAATTTATAAAACACTAGTTATTTCCCTTAAGTGCATGGCTGGGTTATTTTTTTATCTTTTTACCCCTGTGACAACTCACAAAGCACAGACAAATGAAACGCACAAGTTGGATAAACACGGTTATCACTTAGCTGCCTTTTCAGTCCCATGTCGAACGTGTAATTCGATAAGCTTGGCTTAAAAAATAGCCATAGCTCCAATGAGTCGATACACTTTTAATAGTTTTTGCTACTGCTGCAGCTTGCGGAGGAGGAAAAGTTCTTCAAACTTTGCAGCTTCCATCGCAAACTTTTACGCTCCGATAAACAACAACAAAAGGTCGGGGAGCGGTAAAGGAAGCGCTCGATCCCGGAGCTCGAGTCAAAGGCAAAGTGTTGACAGCTTGATGCGACAAACACACACACACCCACACCCACACACCCTCACACACACACTCTGAAAAGGACCCTGAACTTTGGACAGCTCGAATGCATTGTATACAAATGCAGTTTCCATTGGCTCAACTGCAGGCCAAGTTTTGCTTTTCAATTTCAAAAACCGAATGAAAACACACACATATGGAGAGTAGTGAAGCGCAGGGTGCAAAAAGTTTTTAGCAACACAAAAGCAAGTCCTGGCAAAGTTATGTCTCTCCCTCCTTGGGGTATTATTAGAAATTGAATTAGATTTCATTTGGCAGCAGGCAGAACAATCCCAGATGCACTTAAGGTGCAAAAAATTTCTAGGGTAGGACGCAGTGGCGGATCCAGGACTTGAATGTGTAGGGGGATCTTAGGAACAATTTTTTTAGCATACTTTTTATTACCGCGGGAGGGGGGTTTTGAACATCCCCCTAGGATGTGCACATAGCTGGGCCCTCCATAAGTTCGCACAACCTCTTCATTTCGAAAGAAATTCGCTGCAGTCACATCGAAAGTTTGCAATCAAAAAACTTTCCTTCCTGCCCAAATTTGCGTGCTGAAAAAATAGCCCTAGCATTAAATAGAGTACAAAGTTGTTTTTAGCCCCGCAACCCCGCCCCGTGCTAATCCTTTTAATTTTGAACTTCAACTTTCGCCGACGAGCAAGGAAAATAAGATGGAAAATAACCGAGTAGAAGTAGAACCAAACATGCGACGCACTCGGCGAAAGTTTTTTAATAACAAGCCCTGTGAAAGGACGACGCAGATCCATCGCAGTTATCAACCGGGCTAGAGGGGAATAAATTCCGCCCTCGACTGCACGTACACTGCATACATTTCCCGTTTCGGTCCGATGCCTTGACTTTTGTTGCCCGAAAACCCCGAAAAACCCGAAAACTTTTTGCATCAACTGTGCCCGGGGCGGTCGAACCCATTCCGTTCCATTCCATCCCATTCTCATCCTTCTGCAGATCTCCGGTGAAGTCCAGCCAGCGAAATGCAAATACAAGTTATAATAATTTCTTTTCAATTTCCAACCAAAGCAAGCACTTAAGGGGATTTTAGTTACAGGGTCGAGCTTAGAGATGGAATGCATCTGGCCAAACAGCCAGGACACGGGGTCGTCGAGGAGGCGGAGGTGCCTTCGTATTTGTCATTTGGCCTCATCACTTCTGCGATTGCACTAAAATTTGCATAATTCCAAGTAAACAAGCAATTTCATTGAGAGAGTGGACGCGGGTTGCGAATGGCGGGCGGAATTCGGAATTAATAACTCTTTGCTGCCGAAATTGGATAGCATTCGCTACTCCGAATGCCTCGGAGCAAGGCCAATTTCGTTAGAGGCGAAATTAGACAAAACGTTAATCAAAGACCAAGAACCATGGCCCAAAAGTTACACTTGGAATAAAACATGAAAATACGCTGTCAAACTTCTAAAATGTTATCGGTTTTTCAGTCATCCTTTCCATATCTTTGCGTTTAACAAACGCTTATACCTGATTTAATTTTAGAGGTCACCCACTTGGTTTTCAAGAACATTTTGTGGAACAAGTTTAAAATTTTTAAATAGGTACTTTTTTATTTTATTTTATATTTTTTATTACTGCATATTAAACCAAAAATGACTATTGATATTTGAGTACTTTCATTATATAAACTTAAATATGTTATTTAATTATAAAGTAGCTAGACATACTTTCAAAATATTTGGATTTCAAAAAAACGTACAACTATTGTTTATTAAAATTAGAAGTATATCTAATTTTAGCTGTTTATCTTAAAATATTTTTTAGAATATATAGAAAAGGTTTGAAAATTGGAAAGAACAACTATTTTATCTGAACTTCTTATTTTAAGGACTAACATATTACTGCTAAATCAGAAATTACTATTCATGATATCGTTATATAAACTTAATTATATTTTTGAATTGTAAAGCTCTGTAAATCGTACTTAGCTTGCTTTATAGTAGCTTAACTGTTCTGGGCTTAATTCGGAAACAAAGGATATTCCCACAGTAGCCTGGAAAATACCATCAAATTAAAACTTTGATAATTTTCGTTTGGATTGTTTTGTACTTAAAAGTCAAAATACCTGGCAGAAAACCCCATAGAATTCCACTATATCACATTGATTTGCTAATTTTATTGGAGCAGTGCTGAGAGAGAAAAGAAAGTAAGTTCCCAACTTCCTGCTTTCAACCGGAAAAGTTTCACTTCGGCAGCGATAAAAGTTGCCCAATATATTTACCCAGGAGAGTGCAAATAAGTGGCACAATAAATTCGTTATTATGTTCCTACTTATGTCAACTCACCTCGTTGCAGCGATATTTGTGTATTGCCATGTCAAAAGTTATCGCCAGACCGAACTGAACAGCAGCAATTCCGAGCTCCAGTTTCGCCTCGAGTGCCGGTGACAAGCATTTGGGTTTTGGTCGTAAAGGAAAGCTGCACCATGAGGCAATAATTTGCGACCGTTTTTGTGTGCCCGCCCGGTCGCATGGTCGCAATTTAATTACTGGCCAGCAGTTAATATTGACAGTAGCCACAGCCTCGGCCTCAGCTCACCGTAAAACCGTTTCAGCTGAGCGTAAACCCATAAGCCTGTCAATCGCAAAAGGTCGGTATCCCGTCCTCTTTGTGAAGAACTTTCCCCATGGCCACATCAAACGAAAATACGACATTTTAGACGGTATTAGGAGCGCTGCTATATGGGGCATAGCAAAATGTCGAAGTATGAAAATATTTAAGGATGAACCTAATGGTATTTAACATTTTAATACCCCTTCCTTGTGTACTAAAAGGAGGGCACAAGGCATATTGAATATTGTAAAAAGAACCATTTCAGACCTGATTAGTTTCCAGAAAGTATTCATCGTTTTAAATCAGCCCATGGCACTTTATATAGCTGCAGTACCTGTCAGGCATTTTTAAAGTCTGAAGTCCTTCCGGTGGAACGATGCTGCTGGCATAAATGATTATTTTATGGTAGCCAAAGCCAAGACCGAAATCCCAATGCAATTTCACTTCTTCGGTTTGCTCTCCCAGGCGACTTGGCAACTTTTAATGGCCCCACTAATACATTTAAGACCCAGCATAAGCACACACACACACACACACACACTCATAAAATGGAGAGCGGGATGGATTCGAGTCCTGTATACAAATAATTACATGGCAAAATATTTACATTTTGGTTTTGGCTTATGCACCAAATAGGCCAGCAGACGCCAGAGGTGGCGAGGTTTTGGGTTTCGGTGGGTTTTGCCTGGGCAGCAACTTTTTGGCCACTTCATATTTCATAAAAACATGCATTATGACTATTTTATGAAGCACGCGCCGAGAACTTTGGCAGTCAGGATGCAGGATGCCCCACCGCCACCACGCCACCCAAGAGTCCTGTGTTTGCTAGGTATTTATTCGGGTTGCCCGGCCTGTGTTCCTGTGTTCCCGTGTTCCTCTGTGTGTGTGTCCTGGCAGAAAGCCTGGCACATAAACCGACATCGTTGTCGTCCCCTGTCCTCGTCCTGGGCCTATCTGCTTTATGGCTCAGCGCTTCCAGTGCATCCAATGTGGCCCCAACAAAAGGATCCCGCATTCATGGCCTGTGGGGGTCACAATTTCATGTGCCCTGAATGGCTCACTTCGGAGCAACAAAACTTCGGACGCACATAGCCGTAAAGTGGGCCCGTCAGATGTGTAACTGACCTATCCCCTGTTTTGTGGCCCAGCTGCAAATTAATAATTCGACCCACTTCGAGTGGCCGGCCATCATTTGCCAGCCTCTCGGGCCTCTTGGCCAATATCGCAGCACTGCACCTGACTCGCCTTCCACTTGCACTCCAAGTCTTGATTATATTATGCTTATGCCCAATATTCATTTCTCAAAGTGACGGGCACTGGCGAGATTCCAGTTTGTTGGGTAATTAGTTGATTACTGGGCCGGGCAATGAGCCGTCTAATTGAAAGGGTAAACTAAGCACTGGTTAAATGCCACTGCCAGCTGATTTCCGATGATCCCTTTGCTGTCCATCCGTCAGTGGAGTACTCAGTGCAGACAGGCTGCTCCTTGGATCCTGGAGCAGTTTAAACGGAGGAGGCTGAGTAAGGTTCCTGGTCTAATTGAAGCAGTTTTAATTAAAAAGCTTTTATATTTGTTATAACTTGGCGGCACTTGACTTTGCTTAAAGCGGGAATACTTACTTGTAGTTTTCATAACATTTATTAAACAACTATTATTCCAAAAATCATAATTATTTTTTAAATGACTAATGGGTTACACAAGTAATTATTTTGTCTGAGGTCAGAAATAAATAAACATAAGCTTTGTAGGTGCTGTATAAAGTAGAGTAACATATAAATACTATTATTGCAATATATGCAACAGTGAGTATTTTTGATCATTATCAATATACAATATACTACTACAATTTTGATAGCATTCCCTTTATGCGAATCCAAAGGATTCATTTTATCTATTGCTGGTAAACATTTTCTAAAAGTTTACATTCCTTGATTGGCGTTTCCAATTAACTAACAACTACCATTTAGTGTCTGTCCAAATGATTGACTACATCTGGCTAAAGTTCCAAACCTGGTTCGGCCTAGTAATGAATTTGGCTGAGGATTCGCGGATGATTATGATGCTGGTCAGCTGCACGATGGCCGTGGCCTTTATCCTGAATGTGCAGTCGGGGAGAACCATCCTCCAGGACGTGGCCCGATCTTTGGCCAACAAGAGGCTCAAGTCGAGGCTGGACCGCCAACCCTCACCCATCAACATTGCGGAGAGCGGGGTTATCAGGAGGCAGCTGAAGCTTCCTTTGAGGTGGACTCACTACGAGGATCTTCCGATGGCGACGGTACTCGAAAATAATGGAAGTACGGTGATCCTGCGGATTTACACTGCTCCCAACTTTTTGCCCCACATCAGTGGAGCTGAGTTGGGTGGAAGCTACCACTTTGTGGAGGCGATCTTCAAGTGGGGCATCTTGCAATCCGAGCATTCCATAGGCAAGCAGAAATTCTGCCTGGAGATGCAGGCACTTCATCGGTGTTCCAAGAAAGGAGGTACCGTGGAGTACCTGACTGTATCCCACCTGTTCTCACTGACTCAAGTCAAAAACGAACGACTCAAGCAGATCGCCGATAATCTAAAGTGGATCCTGCGACCAGGATCTTCGATTGAACTGCCGCCCTTCGACTTGGGGTCTCTACTTCTACCATTCGCCGAGGGTCACTACACCTACAGCGGCACCTACGACAACGGGGAGGTGAAGCTGCCCACCACCTGGCTGATCGACTCCCAGGTCTCCGGGGTCAACTCCCACCAGTTGGCCCAGTTTGGAGTCCTGTACCGAACGGATGGCAGCAGGATCAGGAGCAATGTACGGGAGGAACAGCCGCTGGGCACTCGCAGTGTTCACTTCCATTACTGAGATGTGAATGAAATAAATCATAACTCTTAAGAGGTTTTTGTGATTGAAATTTTTACCCATAAAACAAGAATTCAAAAATGACTTTTTTTATCTTTTTTTCTTCTTTTACGAACTTATGGTATTTTTTAAGAACGGAAATTTAATACCGTTTTATGCTAATCTGAATGGCTTCAAATTTTAAGAGCAAACGGTGATCGATTATTACTAATCTACTAATTCTCTTGTATTAAGAACCAATGTTTTTCATTCATTAAGTCCCTGACTTGAGAGTAAGAGGTTTTATTTCTTGTGTTTTATATTATAAATAATTTTAAATAATGATATTTTTTAATAAGAAAGTGTTTATTTATTATTAGAAGTAATTATTAATTCCTTCTAAACAAAACTTTTTCTTAATTTAGCAAAATGTCTACACAATGTGTAAGGAAGTAATAATTTCGGTCTTATATTTTATTTATTAGTCTTATTTTTAGTAGAAGTAAAATATTCGGTCTTATATTTTCGAGGTATATATTTTTCGGGCGCATACATGTAAAATTCCTTCCTTTAATAATCACCAACTTGGCGAAAAATAAGTCCAGTTAATTGAAAGCTTAGCCCAATTACTTTAATGCACATATGTAGGTTTAATCTACGCCATTTTGTACGTTTTTCGTAAATATGCAATTCGTTGCTTTAATATATAGCTAACGAAAAATAAAAACGAAACCACGATTGTTCAGATAACCCCATTTATTTAAAAAAAATTTGGTGTTTTGTTTTATAGCTAAAATAAACAAAGATGGAAATAAAATGACCTGGGGGCCATGAAAAAAAACAGTTGATTTAGTGTAATTTACACTTGATTTATTTGGCCACTGGCTTCGAAAACAATAATTTAGCATTTTAGATTGATTTCATGTAGAGCGTGGTTAGAATTTTTCAGCTAGGAGTTGCATTCAGAATTTACGTGGCAAATTAATAAAAGACTAGACCAAATAGTGCATACTTCTAGTTGCGTAACCATTTTAAACATCTCGTTTGTTCCAATTCCGAAGGGCTTTAATATTTAAATAAAATAGTATAAGAGTTATATTAAACTTTATTATATGTTTTGTAACGAATTTAAGATTTATTATTATAATTGTAATAAGGGCATAAGATGCTCTAATATTTCTTTAATATTGCAGTAATAACCATCGAGAAACTAACCGTATGCCCTTGCTACCAATCCCGATGCAATATTAAGAATCTTTAAATCGTTACGAAGACTGGGATAAAAGTAGAGTTTGGCGACGTGATTGAAATAAACCTGTGCATTTCCACTCAGTGCCTTTCAAAGCTGGAACTTTAACGCTGGACGACCTGCATGGAAATGCGGTAAACTCGAGGGTCCTCATTCCTCGAGGAGCGGTTGAGCAGCTGAGCAGTTCAATTCGTGATTTGCACCTCATAAGCAGCCCATCAGCCTTTGGTTCCGGATGCTGGCCAACTATTTGCCTATTTGACCGACTGTCTGCAGGTGCAGCCAGGCAAGTAGTCAAAGTGCAAAAGGGAGAATGCCGGCCGAGCACGAGCTGCTGCCTGGGGAATTTGTTCATTTCGTTCGGTCAGAGGGAAAAGTCGGAGAATGCCTAGCAGCCTGCAAATGCTAAAACAGTTGCGAAAATTGTCGAAATTAATTTTCAATAAACGCCCGCCGGCCAGAGAAGGGAATCGAATACTGATTGGCTAAAAAGTTTCGCTGAAAATCGCTTTGAAAACCTGAACTGACGTTTCAGGCCAGGGGCGGATCGGTGAATACCGGTCTGGGGGAGCTGCAGGAAGTCCTGGATAGAATTCGCTTATTGACTTGCCCAGAACCAGCACCCACATCCACCGCAAAAGGAGCCGGCGGAAGGCTACTGCATAGTTGGCTACTTCAAACGCGGCGCAAATTGTTCCTGGCTACGGAATTCCTTCGCACGGATATCAAAAGGATTAGCTCGGGCTTGGGCCGGTTAAGAAAATATATATTTATTTGCCCACCGCCCCACCTTGTCGCCGGCAGACATTTTGAACTGGCAACTCCTATTACGATTTATTTCAGGCGTAAAACCAGCGTAGGAAATATTTGCGGCGAAAGTTTAAAATAATTGTTGATGTAATGTAACGAGCCAGTTGTAGGCGGTGGGCGTGGCAGAAAGTAAAACAATGGACGAGCAAAGGAGCGGTTACAGTGGCCAAAAGAGAAACTGAGCCTGAAACAGGACAACCGAATAGTTTTCGCTTGGGAAATTGTTTCAAGTTGCGCCCCGTTTCGTTTACATATATAAATATGGCTGTTGTTTTCGAGTGGCCACAGTTCCAGTCCAAATAGCAATGTAAGCATCCATCCAACCCAGTCCAACCCATTTTTGCCGCTTAGCCGTCAGCAGGTCGCAAGTCGAACAATTAAAACAAGCTCCAAACAATTTCCATTTAGATGTGAAAAACAAGTTGTACGTATACGTACAATATATGCACTCGTCTAGACTGAGGCGATGAGAGAGAATATACTACAATTCCCCATCAATCAGGTTGTAGCACTAAAAATAACAGCTGTCAGGCAATGAGATCGAGGGGATTGGCTGATATTTGTAATAAATTTAAAAAATATATATAAATCAATTCTACAAAGTACTTGAAAAAGTTACACAATCGCTTGATTATTTTATATGTAAACTAATGAGCTTTCATTATTTTGTTTTCTTTTATTATTTATTGTTTTCGACTATTTGTTTATTGTGCTTTAATTACCATTAATTTGCACGGGCTGACAGATCAATCGACGAGTGTTTTGTTTATTATAATAAATCAAGTTTTTGTTTATCAATTGAACGCTTAACAAATACCTGTTTTTATACCCTTACAAAGAGTTTTAATATTGTAGCCAGATGCTTGCAACTCAGATAAGGAGACATCTCCGACCCATTAAAATTTATTTAACTAGGTGCAATAGGGGAATTTGTTTTTAAATTATTGTTTTTCCAAAAAAAGACAAATTTTATGTTTATTTAAATAATTGAAGGGAAAGAAAAACTGAATAATTGTATCCAAAAGTTTAAGGGTATTTAAGCTTCAGCTTTTATTATCGTTTTTTTAATTTACATATTTACTGATTAATAAAACATATTTTTCGTTTAAACTTGCTCTGATTTGTTAAAATTCAAACTGTTGTCTTCTTAAAATCATTCTGATATTACTAGATGTTATAGATATTATAATTTATAATTTGCATTTAATTATCTTTGTTCAAAAACAAGAATTTTACAATGTATAACTTTTGATTGAGATTGATATTGACAACTTGCACGTGCTGCAAGATCAATGTTTGTTTAATGTTCTTGGTTTTGGGAAATTGATCTTGATTATAAGATTATTCAGAATCCTTAAAACCGGTTTGCTTTTATAACATTATAAATTTAGTCTTTTATCATATTTTACTCATCCTTACACTTTCCGCTTTAAAGCTTTAAAGCTGAAATATGGGTTCCAAATAAAAAAAAATAAATTAAGTTGCTTTTGCATAATCGCAACTCAATTGAATAATAAAACAAATGTATACATTTAAAGTTGTTTATTTGAAAATCAAAATAGGTAAGCAATGTGTAAGAAATGTGAATTCTAGCTCAAGTCCTAACCGGTGCGGATGAACTGGCCGTTGTCGGTCTGGATGAGCACGGTTCCACCAGCTAAATGAATTATTTATAAATATTAAATATGATTCAATTATTGATTTGTAAATGTTAACTTACGTTGGGGCACGGGCTCAGCATTTGCGAGGGCAGCGAACATGGCCAGGAGAAGGGCAGCGGCTTGGAAGAACTTCATGTTGATTTGGGTGGTTTGGTGGTTGGTGGTTGGTGGTTGGCTTTGGTGTACGACTGGGATACTGATGCCCCACTGAGGATCGCCAGCTCTTTTATAGTCGAACGTTCAGTCAGTGATCTGGGCAATTCCAGGGTGGGGTATTGCACAGGTTAAAAGATCGGCTTAATCTTTCAGCTCGTTAATCCGAGATTCGATTGTTGTTGATGCACGGCGATACATGTGAAGTGAGAACCTGTCGGGGATTTCTACGCAATTCACTTAGCGCTGGTTATTGACATTCGAACATGAGCACACGTAGACGAACGATTATTAGAATAACTGGAACTGCGCGCAAACAGCGCAATATGCAATCCAGTTTAATATGCTTACAATACCCTTTATTGGAGTTTCTCTGGAAAAAAAGGCAGTTAATGGTTTCCCATTGAAAAATACGTAAAACTTGGAATTTATTCTTAGTATAAACAAATTAGTTATAAATAAAAAAGAATAATAAACAATGATAAACGTTCTTCCAGAGATCGTTTTCTTTAATAATATCTTAGCTCATATTTATAGACGCAAAACAAAAAGGTTTACATATTTTTTGAAATAACTCTATGATTTTAGAAAACTCGGGTTTCGTATATATCTGAAAAGCTAAATTTATTAAGCCGAACTCGGAACACAGGTTTTTGGCCATTTTTAATAGATGTACTAGCAATTTCGCCTTATTTCCCACGTTAATATGATGCAATCTTTTATTCCAAATAATTATTTTTCCGAATTCATTTAACGTTGAGGTAGATTCATTTATTTTTATACCCTTGCAGAGGGTATTACAATTTCAGTAAATGTTTGCAACGCAGTGATATAGACAATTTCGACCTTATAAAGTAAATATATTCTTAATCAGTGGCTGCAAACTAGTCCCTCAGTTTTAGAGCTTTCTGGATAAAATTATACTAAAAGTCCTTCATCTATTTCAAGTAGTATCCCAGTCTTCGGATCGGTCTACTACACTTAGCTTTCATATATATATTGGAAAATCGACATAACTTAATTGTTATATAGTAGTTATGCTCTTCAGTGTATTAAGTTTGTGTTGTAGCTGCAGGGAATATAAACGTTGGCTTGTAAAAGTTTGCTTCCTTTCTTGTTTAATATGCTTTTATAAATTAATTAATTATATTCATGTTTTTATGTTGATTAAATTAAGGAGCAATGAACATGAATTTGTTTCAGATAACGAAGTGCATTGCCCTCTCCATTCCAGATCGATTTTGCAAGTCAGACTTAATCAAAATATAATATACTTTCAATTAAAATTATTTAAAATTGTTGTACTAAATGTATTTAAAAAATTTTCAATTCAATCAAATTGAAACTTAATATTCTTCTTACTACTACTACTTCTTACATTAAATTTGTAATGAAAATATGATACAATCTCTTGTTTATCATTATTTATTTATTGAAAAATGTTTTTTTTCTTATAGAAAGAGAGTTTTAATACTTTTTTACAGACGTAAAATAAATATTCATTATTAGTAGTGGCATTATGCTGATTTGATCTCATTTGATTTTTACTAATGTATGTAAGTAACAAAATTGATCCAATTCGAAATCGATTTACCCCTTTAAAATCATGAAGTTACATTTATAGTACACACTCATATCAGCTGCACGCGCATTATCAGCTCAGATCGCGTTTAATTCCCAATCGTGACCCTGGGGTATTTTGATGCCCGATGGAAATTCCGGATTTCCAAGCCCCAATCAACGCTCGCTGCATCGGATCAAGCTATATAAGCCTTACTGCCGCAGACCGCTAATCAAAGTAGAACTTGAATTCACTCTGTAAACATGAACTGTCTGAAGATCTGCGGCTTTTTCTTTGCGCTGATTGCGGCTCTGACGACAGCAGAGGCTGGTGAGTACAAAAACCCCAATCTTTAAAGCGTTTTTCACTCATCAATTTGTTTTCAAAATAGCTACCCAAGTCTTGAATGCTGGCGGTCACACACTGATTCAAACGGATCGCTCTCAGTACATACGCAAAAACTAAACTAACTTAAAAAACAAATAAATGTCTCAATAAATAAAAAAAAATTAAAAATTGAAATCAAGCTACTTTTTGTTGTATATGAAATTCAAAAAATGCGCCTTATGCAAAACATGGTCACTCTGGAAGAAATACCAGAATTTATGGGTAACGACATTTTTCTTTTTTGATGTGCACACACTGGAAATGATCTCAGCTGATCAGCTGTTTACAAAAATACAACAATTTATTTTAATAGCATTTCAATCGCCAGCAGCGTTTTAAGTAAATTGTGATTAATTTGAACTAGAAAATGTAAAACAAAGGTATGTAAGGGGAATGGCAAAATTATACTTAATTGATAATAAATAAATCAATCAACATAAATTAAACGTAAAAGGAAAACAGAATCTGGAATACTCTTGCAAATCCTTTAAAAATAAATGCCAATAAAAAAAATTCAAAGCATCATCAATTCTTTGAGGTAATATTGTGAATATCATTCAATAGAAACAATTTTGTAATTTATTGCGGGATCGTAATGTTTTGGTAGATTAATCAAATAAGTCAAATAAGTTGTTATTGTTATCTAGCAGGATCTCTATAATGACAAAAATCAATAGAATTCGTATTATAATAAAATAATAATGGTTAAGAAATACATACGGAGAATTTGTGGTTTTTTGTATCAGTTTACAAAGTTATAAACCTAAATTAATAAGTGCTTTACCAAAATTATATACATCTGTATTAATTGAAGCATGTTTCAGTTCAATAGAAAATATCTGCCCAAACTTAATTTATATTTATATTTAAATCAATTACATTTTTTTTAATTTTGGCATTTATTCTTTAAAAACTTCAATACGATTTCAAATTGAACTTGAGCATAGTTTTATTCAGCGTAATTTTTGGACAAATTAAGGCTTAAATTAAGCAATTCTAACGAGCTCTCACATAAACGAAAATTAATTTAATGGGTGAAAAACTCTTTTTTTTATTATTAAAAAGGCAAATTGAGACTTATTTTGCTATATTGATTTCCATTATCAATATACAAATGTATTTAAATGATGCGGAAATTTAAATTGAACTTTCAATATACTCGTATATAAGCTCTATACGGTGATTAAATAATGTAAGTATTAAAGCGTTTTAAAATGATGAAAATCCCATGACAACCATTTAAAATACCTCCTCCTCTTTGTTTCAGCGCCTAGTGACCTGACTTTTGAGCCGGCGACGACGACTTCCCGGCTGCCGCATCTTATCGCCGGTCAATAAATGTACATAAATGTGGCCACGACAGGACAAATAGCAAGGAGCAGCAGCAAGAGCTGTAACAATAACAATAGTAAAGCCGCAGAACTCGACCACAACAAGCCACAATCGGCAATCATCAGCACTGGCGCGCCGCAGACTGGGAAGGGGTCAGAGGTCAGGCGGATTGCGAGGGCGCCAGTTGCATTTTGACAACGGCAACGAACCGAAAACACCCGCGCATAAGCCATGACAGCTGCACGAGAGCCCCAGCCCCCCGGCATCGGGCAAAAACTAAAGCTAAAGCTGGAGCCCCAGTTCCAGTCCCAGTTCCAGCCACATCGGCCGGCCAAGAATCTGCACGCCCTGCTGGATCTGCCCGCGGCGATGGAACTGCGCCAAATTGAGTTGATCTATCGGGCGGAGGGTAATGCAAATTTGGTGCTCGCCTTGCCGCAATTTAAAAAAGTTTTACGTTTGCCAAAAATGATATCCAGCAGACTGCGGCAGGAGGAGCGGCATGAGCAGGATGAGGTCGCTCGGCCGGAAGGACAGCGCGACTCATCCGCTGAAGCCCCGGCTGGAAAAGGTTCGTATGTGCACGCTAAAAAATGTAAATTATTGTCTTTAGAAATTATAACGAAATTGTACTATTGGGATACCAATTCAAATTTAAGAACCTTTAATTGACTAAGTAGCTGAGGTTGGCTGAAAATATTTTATTGACCCGAATGATAATACAAATTGGTGTATTATGTTAAGTAATAACTCATAATCGTATGTCATTAATGCTTCTCATAGGTTTTTGTTTAGATATATTGCGTTAACCCAAAAATATAAAAACACGAATACACAAGCCATTGTGAAAATAAGATTGAAGTCAGTTAGGAAATTAACAGGAATTACATAAATACTAAATTAATTACTTATTTTTAAGTAATAAAAGGACATATGTATTATTTAAGAATATTTGTCTTTTTAAGAATTAAAAAAGTTTTTTAATATTCATATGTTTTATACCATACCGGTTTTCGCGAAATGCGTATGAATAAAGTATTTTTGTTGTTATAAATATTTGTGATAATGATATGTGCTATATAAAATACAGTAGTAATTTGATGCCAAAATATGCTTATTTGTTAATATTTATTACCACGCTTCAAATCCCTAGTACTATTACTAATTACTATATTACAACAATTAGTCCGAATTTTTTACAAGTGTTTAGGGCCGCCTGTTTTTGTTAGCAGGGCTGGCGTATATTTTCCATTTTTTGTTGGACAGGAAATGGTTGCGTGCAACTTCAAACACCCAGACAAGCTGCTGCTCCATCTCACAGCTCCCAGCCAATTTGAGTATTGTGCTTTGGTTATTGCCCGCTTGGCTAAATCCCGACCCAACCACCACCCACTTCCTTTTCCCTTTGCCCTTTGCCCTTTTTGCTTCCATCTGCCTTTGGGAATCTCTCTATCTCTGTGCATCTTTTGGCCATTGCATCAAATGTGTTTATTTCATTTATCCACATTTCTCTTATGTTGCCTTGTGCTGCTGCTGATTCTTCTCCTGCTGCTGCTGCTCCTGCTGCTGGACCATCCTCCATCTCCAGCTGGCGACTTGACAATGCCGGATTTTATGGCTTATATCGGGATAATGCGCCGTCTATTAGGAAATGAGTTTGTCTGCGGAGCGGATATTGTTGCCATACCAAAGGAAGACGATAGATTCTGGATAAACGAGCACATACGCGCCCAAAGACCAAGTAAGTGCACTGCGGAAAAATAAATATCTAGGTTTGCCTTAAAAACTTAGGTTTAATTAATTCTTGACAAAATATAAGACAAGTCATTTGATAATTTTAACAATTTCAAGTTTATTTAAATCAAGATCTATAAGTTTGGTGAACTTGGAATAATTATTATAAACAATTTAAAAGGGGTTTGGTTGGTTTAAATTTAAAGTTTAAAGTCGCAAACCTTTTTTTGATTGTCTTAAAAATCGCATTCTTTTTTGTGTAGCTATAGTGAACGCTTCCACTGAAAAACTATTCACCAATAAGTGGTTTTTCCCGCCATCTAAGCGGACCTCCATTGTGTCAGTTTGTGGAAGCAAATTTTGTATTTCATCAGCTTTTGCTGCACCAGACCTCCGCCACTTCGTCCTGGCGGCCTTCCAATGCCTTTCAGAGCCACTGCAATCAATCATAAACGAGCGTTTTAGTGCTTCATCCCAGGCCAGTCCCACTCCCACTGACGTTTACGATAGGGAAGATCCTTTGCTCCAGTTTCAGTTTCAGTTCAGTTCAGTTTCCAGCGCAGCAGCCCGTCCACATGGGACTGATTAGTGGCGGACGCCATAGTCGTGGCCATATATCAAAATCGGGTTTATGCCCGGCAGCCAGCAACAGGCTGCACGCTGCAGAACTGGCCAGCGATTTATCATTCACCTTTGCAGTCTAACCCAGCGGCGTCTATATATCAATAATCGCCGGATGCTGGCGCTAGCACTTTACATTCATTCGGCCATAGCCCCCCCGTTCCGCTTTACCAGAATTTCCCGCTTTTCATTCCGTCTGTTTTCCACCCGTTGCAGTTTCGCGTCTGGATAAGGAATTTGTGGGGCCATTCGGCCTGCTGCTGCCAGATGTGACCCAATTGCCTGCCACGTTCGATGTTTTACTTGCCAATTTACAGGTGAGTTGGTCGTCGTCAGCTGCTCCAGCTCCAGCTCCTGCTCCTGCTCCCGCTCCTGGAAACTGAACGCTGAGGCTGCTGTTTTGGCCGGAGTCGTGTTGTTGCTGTCCAAATAAATTGTGTATTTTGTACAAGGACAATATTGGCATTTTTGGCCATATGTGCTGGACACGTTAGCCGAAGCTCCTGCTGCGGTTTAGTTTGCCTGTGTGCCGAGGCATCCGGCTAACAAACCCACGGAAGACCCGCCCCACCATCCAAATTCGGAGCTAAAGCCCGGCCAGCCAAGGCCCATAAATCAACGGTTCTTTGTTTTGAATTAAAGTGGGCAACAGTGTAAACACTTTGTTGGTGTTACTTGCAACCTTGCCCCACCCAATGGCCACTGGCCACTGGCCATTTCGATTCGTTTCGTTTCGTTCGGTTTGGGCTTGTGCGGTTATAAAAGATGCCGAAATTGCTTTGAAAGTGCCGCCATAGCTGCAACTTTTATTATATGCCCTGCGTCCTCTAAATCGGACAGCCGTCGGGTAGCTTAGCTGGCTAGAAGCACATGAGATGGGGGGATTCCCCTGAAAGGACTTCAGGGTACAGCCCAGTTCGATCATTTGCCCGCCGCCGTTTTCATTTTGTTTTTTTGCCATTTTTTGGCTATTTGTTCGCCGTGCTCGGTGGGTACATATTGAATTTATGGCTTTGGTGCCAAAGCATTGACCGAAATAAAATTGCTAGCAAAGGAAACAAACAACTAGCGGAGCGGGGGCAGAAAAAAAGGCCATTGAAAGTGGTACATATGTATGGATATACAACGTGGCCATAACTAACGCCATATTGTGTGCCGTCGCTGAGCGAATTGCGGGCGGAAAAATAAGAAAAAAGGTAAGCGCAGAAAAAACCATTTAATTGCGGCTTTAAATGTTAATTTTCAATTTCAAGTTGGGAAGCGCGAATGGAGAGCAGAACTCCGCCCATGCCGTGCTGGCCGTTGGCTCCATAACTCATCATACAATCAGCGCAACAACTTTTGTTTTATGTCACACCACCAGCAGGAGCAACAGCAACAGGAGCTGGAGCTGGCGCAGCGATAACCTGTCCAAGGACCCCAATCCCAACCCATGCGAAACCATGGTAGCTTTATTCATGATGCCTTTTTTTCGTGCTGCACTCCCGTCGCTGCATTTTCAAGTCAAAATGGCATCAACGCCGGGGCAAAAGTTCGCGGTACACGGCAGGCATAATATTTCATGGCAGGACATGCCGGCACCTTCCTTTTATTCCATTTACTTGGGAACGAAATCGGGTTCGGGATCGGGGGACGTGGCGAAGAAGCGAGAGCAAATAAGCGAAACGATATAATTTTGCAGGCAAAGGGCACAACAGGAGATGGAACCAGAGAAGAAGGAGGAGGAGCAAGGGGCAGCAGTGGTGTCCGTCGTCTGGGCGATACATATGCCATCGAAATAAAACCCAAACAAGGCTGGCTCCAGTTGGCAAGTGATGTCAACGATTTATTTGATTTAATGCCGGCAGGAGCAGAGACAAAGCCAAAGGAGGAGCCCCGGAATCAGGAGGAGGCGCTCAGGGATCAGGAGCCCTTGGCCCGGGACAAGTGCTGGTGTCGCTTTTGCAGCATGCAACTGCTGAAGGTGAGTGAGTGGGCGAGGGCCGATAACGAAGGTCGTTTTAGTTTTTCATTCACTCCCTTCGACAGCTGCACAATGGGAAAATCAAACGTTTGGGCCACTACTGTCCGCTGGATCTATTCTCCGGGTATGTCATCGAACTCCGGACAGTGCTGGACAATGAACAGGGAGCAGACAGCCGGACGGTCGGATAGGCGGACTGCGGACTGCCGAGGCCGCTCCTCTGGCACGAACATCGAGTCATAAATTTCAATCTGCTCCATTTGCGTGTCCTGTCGTGCTTCATAATTCCAACACTTTCGGTTACTGTTTGCCACTCCTTCTGCTTTAGTGCCGTGTATTTTTGCGACCGAACTCTGTATTTCTTTGCTTTATTGTACGACAGGACCCTGAACAGTCCGGACGGCTCCTGGTCCACTTCAATTGCAATCCCAGTTTCGGTCCTCGCCCCACTCATTCGTTTATTTGCGGCCCGCTGTTTCAAGTCATGCGTGCATCCGTGCACAAAATTCAATTTGCTTGCGCTTTCATTCCGGTTTGCCGCCTGCTCCGCATCCTCCCATCGCTCTGACCCCACTTTTTATGGCTCGTCCTTCTTTCCCGCTGCCTCTCGAAAACTGTTGCCAATTCTTTTGCCTTTGTTTCGGGGCTGGCATCTTCCATACAGCCCATATGGATATACATCAGTTTTAATAGTAATATTCATAAGTACAGCACGTGACGAAAGTAGATAGATTTTGTTTCCGCATCAGATCATTCTTTGCTACTGAATTACATGGAATCTACTTCTTTTATAAGAAATGTGTGCAAAAGATTCTTTGAGCCTTAAGCTTCATACAAAAATGTGAACATTTTGTTCTGTCTTTTTTTATAGATATTTTCATTTGTAAAATGTTTTATTGCGAGTGAAGGGCTTAAATTGAATTTGTCTCATATTTAATTTTTACAAAGTGTTTAAATATTTTACAATCGTGTGGGAGATTGATTTCAAAAGATTTTAGTTTTCCAACTTACTTACTCTTGCTAAAATATTCTACAGAATGAAAATATCGTTTGATTTGAGTTTATTGAAAGTTTAATAGTAGTTTATTCCTTGTTGTAATAAGTTATTTCATTGAAAACGTGATTCCCCAATACACGCCTATTGTTATCAACTTCACTGTACAACAGACTTGTCTCTGATGTATTTTCATTGGTCTTTTTTCTGCTTTTAGTGCACCCAGTCGTATGGTCGATGCCTTGAATGCACTTCTCGCCTGCCCGCAAAATAATTTACGTGTATTTCAGAACGGCAATTTAATTTATGGCGATCACGCGAATTCGATTTCCTTCGATGAATTGCACTCGCGTGTCTTTCCCGGGTAAGTGTGGCTGGCTTTTAAATAAATACGATTTGGCTGTATACAAAATGGGGAATAAATGTAAGCCAGTATCACTCAGGATGAAGATGGACAGAGAGGATGTACAATTTAGGTTTGATTTCTTTTGAAATCACTCTATCTACTTGAAGATGTATTTTAACGCATTTCAAACTGTCCGAGCCGTTGTTATAATTACTTTTTCTTCGAGTTATTCCTTGGTTGACGAAAGTTTTTATGGCCGGGGGAAGAAAACTCTCCAACAATTCGGCCAACACGCAAATATTCAATAAATAATGCAAGAAGCAACAGCCAAGCACAAATTCTCGAGTGCCAAATGCCAGCGTGGCCATTTTCCTGGCTGCATCCTCTCTGTCCAGATCCACCTGGCTTTCAACTTTTTCTCAACCTCTCCACATTTCCTCCCCCTTTTCACTGTGTTTTTCCGTGGCTGTGTCGCTTCAACACCTTTTGGCACAACGTTGACAACGACCACACGAAATGGGAATGCGCATTGAAAACGCTAACAAACAAAATTCAACCAATGCCAACGCCATCGCCATGGCCATAAAATCTCTGAAATTCTCCAGTGAAATTATGGTGCTTATAAAACATTTGCTGGTGGCCTGCCTGCTCAGGGAATACAAGGTGAGCTACACTGAAAGAATAGCATACTTTATTAGTTCTTAAAAATAAAACATTTGTTATAATCGTAAATAGTTTATTTTTTGTAATTTTTTTATTTTTACTTTGTTAACTATACGTACGCATTATATGTAAACAAAAATGTTTCAATAGGCCAATTTAGCTATATAAACGACAAATAATTTTTGTATTTATAAACAAATATGTCATAAAAACTTATATTAAATTAGCCCCTACTTGGAAATAAAAATCACGCCCCTCGCTTAACAAATATTCTGGTTTTAGCTCTAAAGCCTTAAAAACTTTTTAAATCAAATTCTTTAAAAACGAAAAGATAAAAATGAAAAAAAAAATAATATAATTATCTGATATTGGAAAATATTTATTTATTTTATTGAAATTAGTACTGCAAATAGCAGGTGTATAAACGAGTTGTTCTACAATTCTTTGAAAACTTGTGAAATTCTCAAGGAAATAAAGTTTAAAAACTTATAAAAACACAGAGATGACAGTAAGAAGCTTATATTCTTTTGGTTTTTCTCTGTGCAGAACCCGGAATCAGAACGGTCAGAGAGCCCCAATCAAGACCAGAAACAGGAGGAGCAGCAGCAGCAGCCGCTGATTCAGAGTCGCGTTTCAATTGCGGCAACGGAGACAAAAGCCGGAGCTGCTGGAATCGGCGCCGCTAATGTTGTCCTGCCGTTTGGGGGCAGGGCTGCCGCCCCTTTTGTCACTGTTGGTCAATCCTCGACGAGGACCAGAGCAGCTGCTGCAACAGCCACGACCCAAAGGTACACAAAAATGGCCAGAATGGAAACAACAACGGCCACCTCGGACGCAGGAGCAACATCGGGAAGCCAACTATCCGGCGATGTGTTGGCAACGGCAACGGCAACTCGGACGGGAAAAAAACCGGAAACGGAAACACTGGCAACTCCTAGTACCAGTCGGAATGAGAATGAGAATCAGAATCAGAATGAAAGCCGAAATCGGAATGAGAATGAGCCTGCGAATCAAACTGAAGCCCAAATCAACAAAGCGGAAATATTTCGCTTACCAAACAATTGTGTGCTACAAAAAATTTTGAATTTGCAATTGCTGGTAAAGGTGAGCCAACCAATCAAACTACCTCCCACTCCGTTGTCAGTCCGGATTTGTTTATTTTTCCTGCCCCCGAGGGAACCTTGGCAATTGCAGATAGTTCGAGTTGGCTTTTTATACCCTTGCAGGGCGTATTTTAATTTTGTGGGAAAGTTTGTAATTCAAATGTCATGATCACCTTGTATTTTGTCCAAGGCCAGTATCTTTATTTTTTACGAAACAATTATATTAGATAATAGGGAATTTAATCTGATTGTTTATTTGCTTCTCAATACATTTTTTCTAAGCTTTACTGCTTTTAAAGAAAAACAAAATTTAACAGATTCACTTTCGTTTAAAGCACTTCTAAAAAGATTTGTTCATATTTGATGATATCTCGTACGCCAAACTTTTCTCTAGAGTATCCCAACGTTGGGTAAGCAAGGCTGAGCTTACTTTTTTGCTCAGGTGGACAGGGAGTTGAAAGTTTATTCGAAGAGGCGGCTAAATGGCCAATGGATGGCGGCCAAGTGGCTTTGTGCAGTGCGAGTAACATTTCTTGGCAATTGCAGCGCCACTTCGACTTCATGTGGCATTCCGGCTACTCCGGTCACTCCCAGCCCACTTACAACTCGCTGCGGGGCCTGCTGGCCTCCATAAAGGAAAGGAAGGAGGCGGAATTCGAGCCGGATGAGGAGCAGGCTTACATGCTAGGAGCCACGGCCCTGGACTGCTCGATTATGTTGACGTTTCAGGAAATCGAAATCGAATGTGAAACCGATTGCCCGGCTGGCCAGAGGTAAGTATTATCCACACAATGCCGCCACCCGCTGCTCCGGTGCTAATCGAATTCCCAATCTTTTCCAGCGCTGCTCCACTGCAGCCTTGGTGCGTCTCCCTGCTGGGTCATCACTTTCTAACCAAGCTCACTGTCCTGGATTTGGATCCGAAGCCCGACAGTCACTTTCATAAATTCATAGCGCAGACACGTGAAATTGAAAAGTGCCGTCGAGCATTAAATTAATTAATAAACTTTGCACCCAACTAAAAGCAGCACGCATCGACTGTCGAGCTCACAAAACTGTGCTACAGTTTCCTACTCAATATAAATTAAGTTGCTCTTTTTTGTGCTGCAGCTTTTCGAGTTCTTTTTCATACCCGTTTATTGGGGGCAAGGGTATGTTGAGATCGTGTGAGTGGTTGTAACTGAAAGGCGGAATGTTTGGTTGTAGAGCCCTCAAAGTGTCAGACATTCTGACTAAGACTTAAATCTGCCTAATTGGCCGGAAGCGAAGCTTATCCGAGATTTTGGAAAGAAATTAACTTAATAGCTGGGAAAACTAGAAGTTAGGAATTAAAAGTTAAACGGTATTTTGCGAACAGGGCGGCAGGATTAATTTTGAATTTGTTATTTATGAAATTACCAACATTTGTTAATTTATGAAGTTGAGTATCGCAAAATTGTCTTTCTTAATTTTATCTTGAAGTTTATCCAAATAAAATCTCTTAATTAGAGACAATTTGTTCGTCGGCTAAACGCCTTTTTTCTGGTTTTACAGTCAGATTTTCGTATAAACATCGCTTATAGCAAAGCTAATTTGTGTTTCCAAAAGTTTGACTATGCTAGCACTTTAAGATTATAACCTTAACATGATGTACAGAATTCGGGACCGAATTAAAACAATTATTTAAACTGAAATGTAAAAAGATGGGACTAGTAACTTTGTCTTTCGATTTTCCAACTCTCAAGTACTTAATGTTAGGCGAGAAAATAATCACCCATGTGATAATGGGGTACCATTCAGTCGATAGATCTACAAATCTAGCTTAGTTTTTCCATATTTTTTCAGTTACTTTGTTGGGCCGCACCTCTAAAATGCTTTTCGCCGCAGCGTGACAGCGAAAAAGCCAGCAGCGGCAAACAAACCACAGGATACACGGCGCTGTCCTGTGACAGCCACAGTGCGAGGGCATAGCTATGGGGCAGGTGGGGCAGATGGGGCAGTGGGGGAGTGGCGCGCCTGAACACTCCTTAATTAATTTCCATGCGAATGCGGGCGCCATACGCTGGCCAGGCGCCGCAGGATGTGTCCGGAGCCGCGGAACTGTGTAGCTATGCAAAGTTATGGCTCTGGGAGTTGGCCCACTCTGGCACGTTCGGCTACAGTGTCAGTTGCCATTCACGCTTGGGACTAACAAGTTTGGCCGGCAGCTAGGCAAAAGGCAAAAGAATACTAAACGATGGGCAACAAAGTTGTGACATTTACCGAGCAGGAACTGGACGACTACCAGGTGAGCAATCGATCAGTTAATCTCAACCTGAAAGCTAATTCGCTATCATGCATTGCCGCTGCTCCACAAATCGGAAAGGATTGCACGTTCTTCACGCGCAAGGAGATCCTGCGGTAGGCCATTTGTATTCCCCTAATAAGCCAAAACTACTCCATTTCATATGGCGGCAGACAAAGCACCGGCTGCCATTGTTCGCAGCATCCTTTTGTTTGCCTCTCGGCGGCAACAAAAAGCAGGAAGCAGAAGAAAATACCCACACGACAGCCCACAGACAGACACTCAGCAACACAAAGCCTTTCATCGCTCCGCCCTTTGACCCCCCCTTCACATCACTTTCCATACCCTTTAAGGGGGCTTACCATTTTGGGCTATATTCAAAACAGCATCGCCAAGCCAAATAGTTGTGGCCAATCTTTAGTTACTAATAATATTTAGATTTATCTTTAATTAAAGGAAAGGCATACCTCCGTAAGGAATTACAACTTAACTGATATCTCTGGAAGTTGTCTTAATAATACTGCCTGAATTATTTTAACTGAACTATTTCATTAAGGAAGCGCATTTGAAAGCACTTCGCTAATTTTATACACAATCCAAGTGTATTTGCCACTTCGGTCCCCGAAGATAAGCCTCCATCCTTGTTTTTCTATACGTTACAGCGTTCATAAACGATTCCGTGAGCTGCGGCCGGATTTGGTGCCTCGCCAAATGACCGAAGGTCAGGCCTCCAGTGTTAAGGTTCCCTGCGAGTGCATTGAGAAGATGCCCGAGTTGCGTGAGAATCCCTTTCGCCGGCGAATATGTGCGTAACAAAGGACCACCAAATGCCTGCATAAGCAAAGCAAAGCCAAACAACGACCGTGCCCCGAAAAAAAGACTATAGCAATTTTCCATTTTCACAGGCGAGGCCTTCTCACGCGATGGCCAGGGCAATTTATCCTTCGAGGACTTTCTGGACGCCCTCTCCGTTTTCAGCGAGCAGGCGCCGAGGGACATTAAAGTTTTCTACGCTTTCAAAATTTATGGTAAGTAAGCGTTCCTCCCATTCTCAACTGGTTGCGGTCAGTGATGGGAAAGGACAATGTTTTGGTAAACAGTGAAAATAAAAGGTACTATGCATATGAACACTATATTTTGAGATTTTAAATAGTTTTATACTGTTAGATCATGTTTGTACTACTATCTTTGCTGCAAGTAGAAGTACAATTTGGTTAAATAGATGCCTTTTCTTTTGAGAAATTTAAAAACTGCGTAGTAGACTAGTCGAACAGCCTTGCTTGTGAATGATTTTTTTAGAAACTTCATTAACATTAATTCGTCAATAATAAATAAATGTTCATTTTAAGGTTAGGGATAATTTTGAATTAGTGTGGACTTCATCTGAACATGAACTATAGCAATCAGCGCATTATACTTACTCAACCCTTCATATAATCAGCTTTAAAGCATAACAGAAGGAGATGTTGCACTATGTCTTTATTATTTTTGTTTATTAATCATACGTTCTATTGCCTTTGCTTATATATTTTAATTTCACTAAGTGGCGTACACTTAGTTTTATTTGTTGACCTTTAACCAGAAGGTAGTTTGGAACGCTATTTTATCTAAGTTATTTGGGCTCTAAAGTTTTTAATAATCCGTTGAGGGTAATTCAAGGATTCAAGTGCAGGTAGTGGTGTCCTAAATCAAAATTTGATCGGTCATAGCTATGAATAGCAAACCACCTAACGTCAATATTTTTTTTAATTTTGAAAGTTATTGGAAGTTTATTTTAACAAGACATTTAAATCATTCATTGTAACCTCGTTGGAATATAAGGGGAAATAGTTAACTAGAACAAAAAAAAACATTCTCCATCATAAGGCATGGTGGTAAAGTGGTGAAATAATCTGGGAACAATGCTGCCATCACTATATCTGGGGGGCAGACCGGCATCCACACTCCATCTCCACTTGCAGCTCCAGCTGCTGGCCAGTACTTTGAGGTTTTGTTTATGCATTTCCGCAGCCCGTGTTTATTGTCTTTGCTGTAGTTGCTCCCGGTGCGTGAGTGTGTGTGTGTATGTGTGTTGGCCTCTTTGTATTCCGGGGAGAAAGGGATCTATGTGGAACATGGCCCTGGCCGCCAAGCGTGGCATACAACACGCGAATTCGCGACTCGCGGCTCGGCAATTTGTGGCGCCGTTCCAGGCGACTTTTGTTGTTTGAGTGCGGCTGCTGCAGGGCCAAAGTTCAAGGACAGCCATAAATTCTAATAAGCATTTTAATTGAAATTTAAATTAGAATCTGAAAAATGTCACCATAAATGGGGCGAAAGTTTTCGTGCAAATTGATTGTGCATTTGGCACTCGAAATTAATGGGCCAAAGTCCACAGTGAGTGGGGGCAACGATCAATAGGATGCAAAGTATCTCTCAGGTCGAGTGCAGCTGAATTTTTGCCAAACTAGTTTCGAAAGTCAAGCGATGTAGAGGCAACTACACTTTATTTCAATGTGCATTATTAGATTGACACAAATTGAAACGAGGAGCAGGCGATTACCTGAGCGGCAGAAGGACTCAAACGTGGCAGGTTGCTAGGCAAACTCAGTTTGGCACACATCACTTGACTTTTGTGCAAGAAAATGTCAAGTTTTGTAAGCCATCACTTCCCCCTCGGCCATAACACCCACCCACTTGTGTGTACTTACGTCTGGCATAACTTTGCAGATTTCGATCAGGACGGCTTCATCGGGCACGCCGACCTCATGTCCTGCCTGACAACAATGACCAAGAACGAGCTGAGTCCGGAGGAGCACCAGCAGATTGCCGACAAGGTAATCGAGGAGGCCGACGTCGATGGCGATGGCAAGTTATCAATTTTGGAGTTCGAGCACGTTATACTCCGGGCCCCCGACTTCCTCTCCACCTTCCACATCAGAATATAAAATTGCAGTTCGCCCAAAGGGCACAGTGAGAAAAAATCTTTAAGTAGTACTTTGCTATTTGTGACATTTTTCGTTGGCACTGACATCTTTATCCAATTAAATGGTACTGAATAAATGTAACCTTTTTATTTGTATTTAAGTCTCATATAGTTATGTACTTTGTTTAAATTTAATTTTAGGAAGTGCATTTGATTTGTTGGTTGAAATTGTAAAACACATTTGCATATATATACACTATGTATATAAAGATACATTTAGAATAACTTGTTTTTCCCAGTGCTGACCCTGTTTTATTAAATTGTTTATGTGCGCTTTTGCATCGAATGTACATACCCGAACAGATAGCATGAAAGTGCCATCAGTGTGATTAAGTTGGCTCCCCGGCTGGAAGCCTCCGGTTGTGGGTTTAGGGTTTGGATTCCGGGCTCGGGTTCTGGTTCTGGTTACGGGTCCAACTGCAGGCTCCACGGGCCAATTGTCGTGACAATGTGCATGTCAAATGTCAGGGAGCATTATAAAATTTATAAGCCCATGCATGCAGTCGGGTCGAATTCCGCCCCGCCCTCCTGGTCTCCTGCCCTTTTTTGACCCCAATCAGACGGACTGGGCCAGGACTGGTGTCACGGCCAATGGAAATCGTCCTGCCCCAGGCCACACACTCTCATAAACCAGACTCTTATCAACGTGGCTGTGTATGTGCGCACTGTCAAAGTTTTATCAATTTTGCCAATTTTCAGCTTAAACTTATTTGACATTTGAGCATCTGCCTGTCGCCCCAATCCCATTCAATTATTGTAATTGCATCTGCAGGGGGTTCAAGGAGCAGAGGGGACGAAATGTGGCCAGTGGACAATTTCCGATTCTTGGGTATGAAGAAATATGCAAGGCCCTCAGCGTTTATGCAATAGAGTTATTTGATAAACACAATCAATGAGAGACAATGGAAAAGTGGTGACAACCTAAAAACTCCCAAATAAATTCTGTTTTTAAACAACTCTGGGAAAAGACAGGGACGGATCCTGTTAACGTAGGGTTAGATATCGGAATACATATATGTATATATAGCTTAGACATCCAAAATTATGTCAATGTTTCTGAGACCCGTGGCACAAATATTAAACATAACTAAACCAGAGAATGTTATTAATGATACTTACATACCTGTAGTAGATTGTGCAAGAATGCATTCAATGAATGAGTTCAAATTATTAATGAATCAATGTGAGTGCTAAGTTTGATAGAATGTATAAATGTAACAAAATTATAGCATCACGATAAAAACGAGAACGGAAGCTAACCTCGGCAAGCCGAAGTCTTAATACCCTTGCAGACTTTGCCGAAATTGCTCAAATTGAAAAAGTAGCGAAAGGAATAAGGTATACATAAATAAACTAGATTTGCATAGTTTCATGTCAAATGCTTTTATACTGCAAAAATGTCATATAAAAATAGAAAAAAAGGGATATTTCCGCAGCCTTTAACAATTTTTCCTACAGAAACTATAAGATATAGACGTCCGATCGGCAAGCGCTTTTACCCTGATCAAGATATGCGTAAATAAATAAGACTTGGAAAATCATCAAATTTGGACCGATTTCACCCTATTGTTCCTATGGGAGCTATAGGATATAGACGTCCGATCGGCACGCGCTTTAACCCTGATAAAGGTATTCATAAAAATAAAAGATTTGGAAAGATTTATGTCAATAGCTTTTACACTGCGCGAAATGTCTTCCATTCTTGCAAGTTATATCCGATTGTTCCTATGGGAGTTATAGGATATAGCCATCCGATCGGGGCGGTTTTCAAACCTGATCTGCGTACACATGTTTTAGGACGACTGTGAAAGTTTTAGATCGCTAGCTTTTAAACTGAGCTCACAAACGGTATTGAAACAGACGGACAGATTAAATTCCATTTTGAAAACGATAATAAAACATTGCACATAGCTTGCCTTTTTATACCCGTTACTCGTAGAGTAAAAGGGTATATTGTATTCGTGCAAAAGTATGTAACAGCTAAAAGGAAGCGTTTCCGACCCTATAAAGTATATATATTCTTGATCAGGGTCACTAGCCGAGTCGATCTAGCCATGTCCGTCTGTCCGTCTGTCCGTCTGTCTGTCTGTCTGTCTGTCCGTATGAACGCTGAGATCTCGGAAACTATAAAAGCTAGAAGATTGGCATTTTGCATGCAGATTCTAGGAGTTCCTACGCAACGCAAGTTTGTTTCAAAAAGGTGCCACGCCCCCTTTAACGCCCACAATCGCTTATATACGATTTTAAAAATTTAAATATTTCGGAAAAGTAAAAATGCAGTTTTATTGTGTTTATCAATACCTATCGAAATGTAGAAGAAATTTTTCAAATCGGACCATTCGTTAAAAAGTTATGAGTGATCAAAGTTTCTATCTCCATCTCCCTCGCACTCCCTTTACCTGAGTAACGGGTATCTGATAGTCGGGGCACCCGACTATAGCGTTCTCTCTTGTTTTGTTACAGAAATGCACAATAAATTCGGAGAAATTCAGAAAAATGTATAAAGTTTCATTCAATATTTCATTAATCTTTCTAGAAAAGTTGACTAAATTCATTCATTGATAATTAATCTGGAAGTCATTCAATTCATTCGTGGTGATTGTTCAAATTTTGTTTGGAAAATAAATTCATTACAATTTGAATTCATTCATGCAGATCAGGCTTAATGATATGTTATTTTGCTTTCGTTTGTATTTCAGCTAAGGGTTTTAACTTGTTTCGATGAGTTCTTTAAGAATAAGAAGTCAAAACTAAGGGCACATTTATCGCGTTGTGACTCTCCGCTTGAGAAATCTTATATTCGTAAATATGAATGTCATAGATATGGGAAGTCTTGTAGAACAAGACATATTTTGTTCTTGCTCGCACAATAGTTAATTTTTTTGTAACAATTAAAACCTTTTTTTTTCTGCCAAATGAAAAAGATTAAAAAAAGGTTGAGAAGTTGGAACACTTTAAAAAATCTTAAACACTCGCGCTTAAGGCACTACAAAATTTTTAAACTATTTATTTTGGTTACATTTACACTTTTTTGTTAGCTTTTACCTTTGGAAGTTTACCAATTTCAAATAAAACCAAATGATGTTAAAACAAGTCACATCTCACCAAACACAAATAATGACAGAAGCGCCATCTATCGTTTTTTTATATGGTTCAGGAATGTAACGTTTTTTCGTTCAAATGTAAGTAAATAAATCAAAGGATATCTACTTAGATTAAAATCTGGCTTGACCTTGCCTATTGGCTCATTTGCTAAATAATTTTATAATAAAAGAAAAATTAGTAAATAATAAAAACGGAGCATATTGACTGTCCGAACTTACTATGATACGACAACAGCGGAATGTCCAATAAAACCCAGCACCAACATAAATTACACTGCCAGTCAACTAAAATCAATTATCAACTCGATCCGAGCACGCAGCAAGTCACTTTATGAACTACTTTTTTTCCACCTCCACTTCTGATGTATGCAAATCACGTTCAATTTTTAATTTAGTTTACTATTTAATAATACGCATAATTACATACATAGTAATTGTGTTTCGTTTTTTGTTTAGTTGGATTTAAATTTAGGCTTAAACGATACAAGAAAGTCTATTACAAGTATGCCATAATCGTATGCATGTATATATAATGGTATTTGTATTTGTATAATTTGTAATTGGTAATCGTAAAAGTAATCCATTGGATGCGTGCACTTTGAAACGGTTTTAGGTTGAGACTTGAGCTGCGTTAGTGTCACGTTGCTATAGTTGGGGCTGCTCGTTTGATATTCTATGGGTTGTATCGTATGGTTAGATCAAGTGATAGCAACGGAACGGAAGTATACTGCCTATACACAAAAACAACAACACTTACATAAGAATAGATCTACTTACATACACGCCTAGGCATAATTATGCTTACATACGAACTAAGCGTGAGTTCCGGGGAATCGCCTTGCCAAAAATTATTGTGACGCCTCGAGGATACTTTTCGTACTTGTCCTCGCGGGCGATCTAGTTTATACAGTTTTCGTATACTATGGGGCAAATGTTACGTCTAATGTCTACATATTCATGCGGGAATAGTTTCGTAGTTGGCTTAGGAGCTAGTTGCGAATACACACGTAATAGTGGCTATCCAATCGTTAGTGCCTTCTCAAGCTTCGTTTCTCGTATACATGGTTTACATTCATTATAGTCTTTTAAGTTTAATCTGGGAAATCATAAAACAAATAATGCAAACACATAAATTGTACAATGCCCTTAGCCTAGGTTTTGGTTATCTTATAACGCTTCGCTGCCGCAGTTTCGCAATCGGAATCCCCAACGGCCGGCTATTACACGAACTTTACAATTACAACATCCTAGCCCAAATCAGGACCTCCGCAGTTGGTGAACCCGTAATCCGAAAAGCTTTCGAAGCTCTTCAACAAATTTCAGTAGACCGAATTGTGATGCTCGTAATTGTGATGATGTAAATAGGATGGAATAGCGGTGGCATTGAGCTCCGACGCCCGCCGTCGCAGCGCGGCGATGCTGTGACCTCGCCACACGTCGTCATCGGTGGCGCCATCTGTCGGCGACTGCATGGACTGGTGGCAGAGCGGAAGTCCTGCGTCCTGTTGCTGCTGTGTGGGTGTCGGTGGCGCCATCTGTGGATGGGTAGGGGAAGGTGAGAGAGCTGTAGACGAGACACGAACCGTGGTGACTTACCTGCTGTTGTTGGTGAGCTTGCTGCTGCTGCTGTTGGTGAGCCTGTTGCTGCTGCTGTTGGTGAGTTTGCTGCTGCTGCTGCTGGTGAGCCTGCTGTTGTTGTTGCTGGTGCAGCGGCTGTTGATTAACAGAAAACAAGTTGATTGAATGCAATTGTACAGTAATAGTTGAGTCTAACCATCTAATCTCAGGATTTTTAATTTTATGGCCGTTGAAACGCACGGAAAGTTTGAACTTAATTTTCTACAAATGATTTTTAATTTTTTTAATGTCAATCGTATCTTAAAACTGCTGTTCAAAGTGAAGCTTTCGGTAAAAATTAAGGAAAGCTATTTTAACTTAAATTGATACCGTAAATAAATATCAGTAATATTTCAACAATAATAAGGTTTTAAATAAACAATTTAACTACATAATTTTAAATATTTTAGTTTAGATTTTTGATAAGTACATTTTATTTTAAGTTGTTGTTGTCGTGCTGACAACCGCAATATAAAACAAGAGAGAACGCTATAGTCGGGTGCCCCGACTATCAGATACCCGTTACTCAAGTAAAGAGAGTGCGAGAGAGATGGAGATAGAAACTTTGATCACGCATAACTTTTTAACGAATGGTCCGATTTGAAAAATTTCTTCAACATTTCGATAGGTATTGATAAACACAATAAAACTGCATTTTTACTTTTCCGAAATATTTAAATTTTTAAAATCGTATATAAGCGATTGTGGGCGTTAAAGGGGGCGTGGCACATTTTTGAAACAAACTTGCGCTGCGTAGGAACTCCTAGAATCTGCATGCAAAATGCCAATCTTCTAGCTTTTATAGTTTCCGAGATCTCAGCGTTCATACGGACAGACAGACAGACAGACAGACGGACAGACAGACGGACAGACGGACAGACGGACAGACGGACAGACGGACATGGCTATATCGACTCGGCTAGTGACCCTGATCAAGAATATATATACTTTATAGGGTCGGAAACGCTTCCTTCTAGCTGTTACATACTTTTGCACGAATACAATATACCCTTTTACTCTACGAGTAACGGGTATAAATAGAATGAAATAACGAAGCACTTTATCGGTAGCATTTGTTTCCTTACGTCTTATTTTAAAGTCCTTTGACTCGAAAAAGAACTGATTGACATACAATTATCTTAATTGAATTATATTATTCCGCCTAAAATGAAAAAGTTGTAAAAATTCTTTAATTTGCACGGCCAAATCAATAAATCAGCATTTTGTTTTAAAAATTCGTTAAAAAAAAAATGCGAGAAACAGCTAGAACCAAAAATTCGTTGATAATTTTATATCACGGTAAATTATTGAAATCGTTAAGATTTGCAGAAATGAAATCTGTCACTGGTCTGACTAGTACTTTACTTTTGTATTTCCATATCATAGTCGTGGGTGATATTTATTTACATATATTCTCTCCCTATTTTAAAGTACAAAAATGGTTCCTTAAATTTGTTTACCATTACTTTAAGAGGCAATATCAATTATAAATATATATTTTTGTCCAGTCATATTGTAGATATAACTGTTCAGGAGGACTCACCATGGGCTCGCCGTTCAGCTCGTTTTGGCTGGAGTTCGGCTGCGCGGAAAGTGGCGGCGGGGTCACCGACGAGCAGCTGTTCATGTTCGGCGGGGTGGTGGCGCTCGGCGAACCACTGGGCCCACAGCTGACCCCGCCCACACTGTGCTGGTACATCATGGAGTCGCCTGCGGGGAAAAAGTACGAGAAACATAATTAATAACCCGCCTTCGACGCTTGTGGACCGAAATTAAATCAGTAGTTCATAAAATGTTTAAAACTCTGTGTTCTTTTAAGGCTCTCTGTTTGGAGTTTTAAAAAAATCTTCTGTATTTTAATACATTAACAGAAAATACGTTAACAGAAAAACAAAAATGAACTGCAACTATTGATTGACTATTTTTGAGCTAAGAAGTGACATAAAATAACATGGGCACGATCCTAAAGTCCCAGCAGTAAATATCAATTAAAGTATATCCGAATAGTTATATTAAAAGAGAGAAAATAACTTAGGGAAAGGCAGTTGTGTATTCATGATTAAGGTGTTGTTGAAATTCGCTGTATTTCTGGGTTATATAATTTAAAATATGATTGATAAGTCCGAACAACACAAAACTTGAAGGGTCACATATATCATAAGACTTTTTCATAGTTGTAACTTACGAGGGCGTTATGTCATGTCACCCAGTTTTATGTGCAAGCAGAGCAGCGCACAAAAAATTAAAAATCTTAAAAAAAGTGTAACAATGAAAACTTTTGCTGACGGTAGCCGGAGCCGAAAAATAAAAAATCGACATGAACATGTCTCCAAAATGTCAATTAGCACAACTATACGAAACCAAATAAAGAAGATGAAAAAATGCCTTTGGGTATTCCTGAAAATTAAACGACTGACTGTTAATTGATCGAACAAACAGGCAGCCCGGGGCATTATAAATGATACGACGCGGTACTACCCATACGCATGCATATGTTTTGGGGCTACCGAAAAAAAGTGTTATGAGTTCAAAGAATTGAGAGACGCGGACTCTGCGTCGTGTTTGGTCAATTGTCGGCAGAACTGGAACTCAAACTGGAACTGGATGGTATCGAAAGCTAAGCAAATAAATCGCCAGAGGCAAACAGTCGCCATCCGAACAAAGCCCCGAAAATAAAAACATGGCAGGCGAAAAAGTGTCAACGCTTGGCTTTTGTCAGCCGCATGCAGATGGAAAATTCCCGGGCATGTGATCGTGGCAGAGGTTTCTCGGAGGGCGGGGACGTGGCACAACACCTACCCAGAGCATTCAGGCCGTAGTGCTGATAGCTGCCCGCTCCCAGGGCGGAGCCCATGTTAATGCCCGAGTTCAGGCCGCTGTTCAGCGAGGACGAGAGTGGCGAGGACTGATTCAGCTGGCCAAAGCCTGCGCCCACATTCCGAATTCCCCGTTCCGAACAAGCAGCAGTTAGTAGGGGGATGGTACGATAGTTAGTGGGGAGTACCTCTTTTTATCGTTCTTGATCACTCACCTGCCGTCATGGGGTTGACGCCCACACTCCAGCGATCCCCGCCGAACATTCCCGTGCCGCAGAGGCCATCGCCCATGGCGATGTTGGTGATGTTGGCCCCGAACGGCGGAAGTCCATGGGAGGGCAGCAGGGCGCCCGGGGTGCGGAACACGTTGGTGGTCTTCTTGCGCTTCTTCCACTTGGCGCGACGGTTCTGGAACCAGACCTGCAATGATAGGGGTTAGAAGTTAATATCACTCGTTTTTAAATAGTAGTAACCGAACTATCAGTTAATCTTTGATACGTAAATTAAATACAAATAAGTTATGTGCTAGTTAAAGTTTAAACCAAGTTATAATTTGTTTAAGTGACCCACTACACTTTTGCCTCTTAGACTATATATTTGAAAATTGTCAACTTAACCGATGTCTTAAAATCTTGTTCTTTGGTTCCGCAATATCTTCAGATAATCTTTAATACATGCAGGATGTACAAATAACATAAGCTAAAAGTTTGATATAGGCCTAATGAATTAGCTTTATCATCAGCTATTTATAAGCTATAAAAGTGATTATTAGCTAATTTATATTTTGTAAGTAAACGTCAACTTTATTGGACTAAATATAAAATAACAGTCATAATCAACTTTACTGAACTCTCGCAATTATCTTTCTTTCTCTCTTTATTAACTTAAAAACCAGATTAAGATGATTTTTTTTCTTTTTCAGAACTAATTTACGGAAATATTTAAATAAAACAGTTGATTTCAATTGCAACGTAACAACGAAATCAGTAAAAAAACACAAGACTTTAGAAGAATTGGAGCGTATTCAAAGATAAGATAGTCATCTAAAAATAAGTGGTGCTCATATAAATAAGAAAATATGGATTGAATTTGGATAGCTGAGCCTAGTGAGATATTTTCAATATGCTGATAGCGTTTTCCCAGCTTAATAATTGTTGCTGAGACAGCCCAGTAAGGGCGTGTATTTCGGCTCCATGTCGGGCCACTCCCACCCAACCCTTCGGGCTTCTTCCGGCGCTGCTGCCTCCTACAAACACGGTCTTAATCGAGATCAATTACCGTCGTGACAGTCAAAACATGTCTCGACACAGGCACACACACTCTCGCAGAAACAGAAGCAGAAACAGATTTACATGCGCATAAATTCCATATGTAAATTCCTCAGCTGCCCACCCACTTCCCCGGCAATTTGGCATCTTTGGTCAGCGAGTCCTGGCTGGACCTTCGATAGGCTTTTGTCTTAGGGCCGGAGAGGTCGAGAGAGGCCCATGTCGGATGTGTTCGCTTCAAATTGGCATTTCCATATGCATAAGAACAGCGCAGCCGAACAACGTAGACACGTTGAGGTTTTGACATTTACAAGGCAGTACACAAGCACACAAGCACACAACCTCCAACCCCCCACCCCACCCACTCACACTCCACTCACACTCACACTCGCACAGGTAAACTCCAGAGGTGGGGGCAAAAAGGGTTGCCTACATTTAGGGGCAGGATGTATTCAATGGCAGTGCAGATTGCACGACACTCTAGTTCTCAAAATTCAACTCTAGCATTCCTTTCAGCTTGTTTTTTTTGCCTTCTTCGAGCGGCACTACAAAAAAATGAGAATAAAGTGCCAGCCGGTGAATGACTAGTGACATGGAAACGATTTCGCCAGGCCATCAGGCCTTCGCATCCACATCACTCGCAGTCGGGTTGACAACTTAACCGTTATACACACCCACCCACACACCCTCGGGCACATGCATATATACGGCTATATAGTATTTATAAATCCCAGCATTTCGTGGCAAATCTTGAGCTGTCACCGACTGTCGGCGTCGACTGTTTCTGTCTGAGTGCGCCAGACTAATGGGAAAGGAATACGGCCAAAACAGCGGGCCAAAAGCGGGAGGGAGCGAGATAGTAAGCGCGAAAGGGGGCGAAGCAAGAGCCAGAAAGAAAAATGGCAAGTTTCGAGCAAAGTAACTTTGCTTGTAAGGCCTTCTGATGGCCTGATGGTCCCCAGTGGGTTTGTCATATGTCGGACAACGGCAGACGGAACCAGAATCCAACCAGTTCAGGCGGAGAAAAAATCGATCTAAATTCAAAAATAAGAGTGTGGCATTAAGAACGCTTTGTTGATGAAATATACCTACACCTTAAAATATTGTTCAATGCTTTTGAACATAAGTTTAAACAGAAACCTTATGAACAAAACACGAACTTAGTTTAAGACAGTAACTTTTCTTACGTATTTATTACTTTTAGTTTTAATGAGTCTGCACTTACGAGTTTTATTCCATATTTAGATCGAACTTAAATTCTGTGTGAACAGTGTTATTTCTCAGCTGAACTTTTGTTGCTTTTTTATATTTAATATATTAAAAAACCAAATGGTTTGTAAATACGTGACTATCTATATTTCCTCCTTATAAATATTATTAATAGTGCTTACACCATCCAAGCAAAAGCTGAATTAAATTTATTGACTAAAATAAAAATCTAAAATTAAAATTAGCCCAGATGAGAAATCAGAATCTTTCAAGAGCCCTTAGTCAAACTTCTTTAAACTGAAACCTGAGCACAGGCACAATATATTTTTACAAAACAGATAAGGTTTCGAAATCTAAAAATGTTTGTTCATAACTAATTTTCAAAGTACTCTATTTCTAATTATAGGCACCTAATCTTGATTTCTAAACGTTTTCTCCCTGTGCACCCATTTAAGCCGAGCTGAACTGGAACTATCGCAGGTTGTTCAGGTTGGAGTATCACTGGATTTCTGGATGTTACACCAGGGACGCTAATGTGCCAGATTGTGCAAGGGATAATGGATGAAGCAAGGGTGGGATAATGGGGTGTGTACAGATATATATGTATTCCAGGGGGTTGGGCTGTGTCGGCGACCTTGACTTGTTTATGTTTTTTACGTGCTTATGCGTCGCTCTATTCATTAACTTTTAATTTAATAATTTAAGACAATGTCTGACTGTCTGGTCTCTGCTCGCTCCCTCTCTTTCGCTCTCCACCAGGCTCTAACCGTGTTGCCATCTCCTTCTGGCTTATTGAGTTCGGTAAATTAAATTTAGCTTGCTGTTTTATTTTGCTAGCCACATTCGTGTGAGAGCATTTCCCTACTCGCACACACACAATCACGCCCGCACGAAGAATGCGAACGGAAATAGGCAGAAGAAGAAGAGGTGGACGGAGGGGGTGAGAGAGGGAGAAAAAGCCAAAAGTCATTGCCTGCTTTTTTGGTCTAAGGCTGCGAGCCATTAAATTGGCATAACGTGCATGACGTGCCCGGCACGTAAATAGGCGTTAAAATGTCGGTTAAACAAAACATTTATTTTTTATGTCTGCCTGAAAAGTGTACGTATGTATTTACAATATTTGAGGGTGTGTGCCAGGCAATCCCACTTTGTGGGTGCGTGTGTGTGTGTTTGCTTTTGATTTGTTTTTACTCCTGATTCCTTCAGTTGCACCCAATTTGAAGCGTGAACCCAAACATACAAAATTGCTCCTTATGCCGCGTTAAATTGTGTGTCTAACGGTAATTTTTTAAGCTTCACCCTTATGAATAAATTATCAGCTGTTGAGTGGCTGCCTTCCACCCAAAAGTCAAATCACACGCATTTTTTCGCGGTCTTATAAGGGGAATTTTCTAAGGACAATGGTATGTTGATTATTTGCCCAATACATTTTCTAAGTTATTCCAACAATATGGTTTTGAGTAATTTAAAAAGAAAATAAAGCTAATAATAAAATACAATACATTTGATTAATTAATTTTATGAGTCAAATTAGTTTTGATGTCAACAAATATACAAAATCTCAGTTAAAACGAATTCATATTTCATGACTAAACAAATTTATGTAATTTCATGCAATTTGGATATGTTTACTTCTTGTTTTAATACTGTGGTTGATTTTTGCATTTTCAAAATAAAACAAAATCTTGTGAATTTGATTTCCACTCATAAAATATATTATCTATTTATTATTCCCTTAGTGAAATAAGTTTAGAACTTGAAGAAATGTAAATTTTAAATGTTTTAGAACCAATTTTAACAAACCAAAAAAAATTACTTTTTGTTGTGATTAACTAACAATTATTTTGTATATATTAAGAAAAACTATTATAGGTTTGAAAAGAGTAAACTTAAGTTTAAAATACATTTTATATAAATAACTATGGTAAGGCCCATTTTTCTCAAATAATTCAAATCAGTAAGCCTGATTTTTTATTGTGCCTAACTGCTCAATGCCTTCAACGTTTCACAAGAACTTTCAATCTGCAGACTGCACTGCGAGCCAGACAAAAAATAGAAAACCAAAACAAGTTGGTGGTCCAAAAAATTTCAGCCATATGTTCCATACAAAAGCATTTTCATGTTTGGACTTTTAATTTTCACTTCACGACTGACACAAACAAAAAACAGCAACAAAGGCAGAGACACCACCAGCTAAAGGCAAACAAAAACAGGGGAAAGGGAGGGCAACTGTTGCAAATAATAAATGAGTCAAGTTCATGAAAAAGCAATTTCTTGTGGCAGGCCGCAGATATTAGCACCCAGATCCCAGAACCCAGAAACCAGTCGTAGACCCAGAAATGCTCACGAGGGGCGAGCAAATGGAAGCAGAAGTCAGAAATTAAGTATCGGCCAAATTACACGGACGGGGAACTGCGGCTGGAAATGGGATAACAAGTGATTTGCTTTGATTTTATGGGCTGGTGGGTGGTTCTCTCCCTTCTCGGGGTGTGTGGTTATATCGCATTATGATGATGGGGTGGGTGTCAAAGGCCCAACGGCTTTTTATTATGAACCTGTTTATTGTGTCGCTGTCATCCTTCCCCGCAGCCTGCTTATGATTGCAGTTCCGTGCCTTAATGGTCTGTCATATATACGACCTGGCGGTGATCCCCTCGTTCCCGACTTGTTTACGATATCCGCTCGGTTCGTTATGCAACATTAATTGCGCATTATGCCTAATGGCTGATTAAACAGCTGTAAGGATAATAACAGCGCAAGGATGTCGGTAAGTTGCAGTTTGCATTCTGGTTTTTTCGCTAGCTGCGATTTGCATGCGACAGAGAAACCATATCGATGCCAACACAGAAATGCACTTTGCCACAGAAAGCCGCACTTCAAAAGCCAATTTCAAAATTATCAATCAGAGACGGGGAAAGAGTAGCGAGAGCTGCAGAGAAATGC